ATTATTGTTCAGTCTATAAAATGTCAGGAAATGGTGAGAAATGTTCATTAGAGTTTCCCAAAGCCCAGGAGTTATGTATTCAACCATCAGTCTGACCAGTTTTTACAGCTGTAGAAGAAAAATACAACAACAATCAGAACTCAGAACTTGAGATGGTGTTTTACCAAGATACAAGTTACAAGCTGGTGGTCGAGGAACCAGTAGGCCTGTTACGATAACAGCTGTTATTGGGCGATATTATTGTCCTGAAAATAATTGCGATAAACAATATTATTGTCATTTTAAGACCATTTTATGCCACTGTAATTATAGGCATGATAATGCAAGTGCACCCTTTCGAATAGCGATTAACTTTTAATTCTTAACATATTCAGCTATTGGAATGTGAAAAAATACCACTGAAATATAAAAAGAAGAAAAACAACCAAATCAATAAATGACTCTGGCTATATTTAAATTGCACTTAAATAAATATTAAACATAAGCACAGGGGTCAGCTATTGAGTCATTCATCCAACGACTTGCATGAATTAAATAAATACAATCTTTATCTGGGATATGGATAATAGTGTTCTCCGTTTATTCTGCTTTCGAGCAGCAAACTTAATATATAAATACATTTCCAACTAAACAGGCGGGATTTGAAGAAAGAGTGCGTGCGTCCTACCACATATGGACGTGTCATCTCCTCGCACATCTCCAGGGCGATCATATCAGCGCTCTGAAGACCAACACTGCCATCGACCAACAGGAACGTCCTCACCAGACTGAAAGATTGCAAACAAACAGATGGATGTGGGAGTTTTCAGGGTCTTCCACGGTCATAGAAATAAGAACACGGAGGTTCTTCAGGTGCAGAAGATCGGGCCAGTAACATTAAAAACAAACCAGCATTCTCAGGTGGATAAAAGAACTGCCATTTTACTTCCCTACACACTCAAAGAGTTTAGTTCATCATGTCTAAAGTAGTAGTAGTAATAAATTGTAAATGACAGTGCAGTTACACAGCACCACCTGGTGGACCAGGTTGGTAGTGCAAACTAGAAGATCTCACACTGGAACTATGGGATATATCTGCACACAGATCTTTTCTGTTAGGAGGCTGCCGTCGTCCAGGAATAAAGTTCCATGCAGCTCATTAATGTGTCAAAAACTAGAAAATGATTTAAGATCAAAACGTTGAAGACCTGAACACAAACTATATTCACAGAGCTTCAGTCTCTGATAAACAGCCTCCTGCATTAGAAAACAACCAGAGCTGATAGAACAATTAGAGGAAAACACTAAATTTGACAAAAAAGGAACCTTTTAAGTATGTATGGCTATCAAAAATGATTTAAAAAAAAACACATAATACAGACAGAATTGTAAAAAAAGTTTGTAAAAATATCAGTAAAACCCATCTCTGATCAAAATTCCTCCAAGTTTCTGGTTTTACACAAACTTCCTGCAGTTATTGTATTCACTGTTTACTGTTATGGACTGAGTATAATATAAATATGATATGGAAGCACTGCTTTTGAGATGTTCTTATCGGCACAGCCTACTAACCCATATATACAAATATAAAGTGTTTTCCTTTCATGACCAATGAACCTAATGTTCTATAATTTGTTGGCCCAGTGAATGTTTTTGATAAGTGTTGGATGGTTGATACCAATATCTACTGAGTGGTTTGTTATAATTTGTAATTTTTTGTTAAAAAAGAATCTTAAGAAAGTAACAAAGACTTGTTTCAGGGAAATGAGTCTTATTATAGTCCAAAAAGAAACATAATCTTGTCAAGCATGTTTTGCATTAGAAAAGTAATCTGGTTTTAAGAAAATATATCTCACTTACAGTC